GACTGGGCTCAGGTCACTTGGGCGTTCCTTCCTTGTCCATGCTAGTGGGATGACTTCTCACTGGCCACGCCCCTTACCAGCTGTTTCAGCCAATGAGACTTAGCACTATTTCCTTATACTCTGCCAGGTCCAGAGAGTGTGGTATCTATTACCATCAGCCCAACTACCTTATCTCTCTTAAGAAGACAAGCTTAATAAATCAAAACCTCCTTTTGGCTGGCTCTTGGTGACCCTTACAAAGTTATGTTTTATTAAACTAAAATATATATTCCCTCTCTGTATTCTAAATATTAAATATAATCTTTTATGGACTTTACCCTTCTCCTTCCAGGAGCAGCAAAGCAAACTAAATAATCTTTAGTAAAATTGAGGAACATTCTGCTGTACGTAGTGATAGAAGGTTCATCTTGACCTCAAGGTTAGATGACCTCTGACAGTCTCAAAACTTTTTACATGGTAACATTTTCTTGCTAGTCTGTAAAATGTATTTTTGAGTGCTATTAAAAATCTGTTTTTCTTTCTATAGAATGGTTTGTGCTTTCCCTTCTGTTTTGCCCACAAAGGTGTAAGAAGATGACTTCAATGGTAATACTTTGTGTTGCCTTCTCTTAGGGATTCAATGATGTCTGGGCGTGAGGACAGATGGGCTGGCTGGGTACCTGGGGGTGTGAGTCGGTCATCTGCAGCCTGGTTCTCAATGCTGAGCAGTGGAAGAAGACTTCCCTTATCTCAGACTTCGCACCAGTGTGTCTGTTTCCCCAGAAAGGGTTAACCTTTGTGAGCTCGAGATGATTCAGAGCCTGCACTGTCTCCTGGAAGATAACCTCTAATAAGCTCTTGGAATATTCTTTCTGATAGTGTTTGTCCTTTCCTGGCACTTTGCACTGGGTCAGATAGTTTATATTGGACGGTGTGATCCATGGTGAGGGCCTTCGACTAGCTGGATGGTTTATACGGACGGTGTTAATTATGGTGGGAGCAGACTATGCCTGTGCATCAGCTTGGTTCTGGAAGGACCAAAGACGGAGTGGCTAAGGCTGGCCGCACGGGTGTCCTGGGTCTGTCTGCGGGACTGACCCACTGACATAAATCCTGGACACTGAGGCTTGCGTGCACTTCCCTGCTTGGCAATGCTTCACTCACTGGTTACTGGGAGATTTAAGTGCTGTCCACACAGTTCCACCAGAGGACGACAGCTGGAAGCTTACTGTTAGTCCGGCTCAGATTCCACTCTGTGCCTTTGACCTTAGCCGATTTTAATAGATTGTTTTTCTTCACTGTATAAACTGCTGTTAGTGTTGTTATTAGATGTTTTCAAGTCCATTTCAACTCTTAGCAATCCTCCGTAGAGCTAAACAAAACACTGTGGGGTCCTGCACCTGCTGTCCGGTCTCTTGGACTTTAGCATGTTGTTTCTGCCTCCATGTCCCTCCAGCTCCCTGAGGTCGGTGGGTGGACTTCCCCCAAGACAGATTGGCTGGTTCTTCAGGGCGTCCATGATAGAATCGTCATTCTTTGCCAAAAATCCCATAATTCAGATACAGCAGTTATGCTTCAAGTCTTCTCGGTCATTGTCCAGTTGCCATACTGATAGGAGGGGGATCATGCCAGACAAGGGCCAGGGCCTCAAGGGCACGTCGTGCATTTATTCTGAGTTCTCTGTGTCTTTATCATGAACCTTTGGACCTAAACGTGATCCTGGGGACCCCTGACTCTGGATGATAGGAACGATTTCAGAAAAATACTTAAAATATACAAAGATTTTTCCTTTTTTTTTTTTCCTTTAAAAGAATAATTGCATGTTATCTACCAAATGCATTTTGTCTCCTGTGGAGTAGTTGACTTCGTTTTGATTTCTTTCTACAACTGTTATTAATGGAATTTATAATGTTGGTGATTTCCTTCCTGAAATTTATCTTGCTGCTGGTGAGTCTGTAAAATATACTTCTGCCTTTGATTTATTCGTATTTTGTTTGTGATTTGAGAGTGAATGATGGGCATTTTGTGTCTTTGTTGTGTGCGGGCGAGTCTTTTACTTGCTATAATGAAAAGAGATTTTATGGAGAAACTTTTCTGAAATCCGAGACTTCCTGCTTCCTTCAACAGAGGCCTGTCTAGAATTGATCACTTTTGGACTCATTACCCCCATTTTGGCCGTGAGGGCTGCAGTGGCCACTGAGGTCCTATTGAAGTGTGAGCAGATTGTTGCTCTGTGGTGAATGCTCCCCGGTCTGCTTTCCACCTGGAGTTCTTAAGTTCCCAACTTGCTTCTTTTTCTCCTTTTATGCTTTCAAGTCCCGTTTATAACTCTCAGCTTGCCTCCCTGCAATAGTCCCTCTCCTCGCTTTCCTCGACTCCTTTTTTAATGGCTGACGGCATCGGGGCCCCGTAATTGAGCTCGTTCTAGAAAAATTTCCAAACTGAGAGTAAATAGGCTCAGAGCAGGAGCCTGGGGCGCCATTCGCTCCACGAAGAGCATCTGCTTCGTGTCATGTCTTTTAAAACACCTTTTCCAGATTGTTGCATTATTTGCTTCCTTTTTAGGTACTGGCTAGTCCAGAGAGTTAAGACAGCTCTTAAAACTGGCTGATTGATGAGTTTGTTTACTCATGCGATCAGTCCCTCATTTGCCATTTTTTTGTTGCATATCTATGCAGTTTAATGTATCTTCTTTAGCTTTAGTACTAGATGACTAAAATGACATGGACAAATTATAGATACATAAACTGTCGTCTGCTCAGCAAACAGCATGAGAGAACAGGGTGGATTTAGTTGTGAAAACTTCCAGTGAAGACCTTTTGGCCTTTATTTTCTGACAGTGATATTGAGGGTTGACGGTATTTGGTAATAAGAATGCTGTGCCCGTGAGGAGTGCGCATAAGCCCATGACCACTATCTGGCCTGTAAACTTGACCCTTTGTTGACATCCAGGAGCTGGGCTTTAAGAGTGTTCCAGGTTAACAGTTAATGGATAGTAAGTGGTTCAAGGTGCCTGTTGTTGTGTACTGTCCAGTCAGAACTGATTCATAGCTGACCCTTCCATAGGTTTTCAGAGGCTGTAAATCTTGTGGGGTGGTGGGGAGATTTCCCATTTCTGTCCTGTGGAGCAGCTGGTGGATTTGAACTGTTGGCAGCACAACTGTTGAGCACTAGGCTACTGGTGTGAAAGCAGTATTGTTTCTTTTGAACGCCTGTCTTTTCTCTGAGAACCTGGAATTTTGCTATATTAGGTAGAGGGTTGTCTACGTGGCCAGCCTCGAGTAAAACCTGCATCACTGAGGTTGATGAGCTTCCCATCTGTGCCTGGGGAAGAGTGCTGCCCATAAAATGTTGGTGCATTGCATCTGATCTCTTACTTGTTGACAATTAGATATTCTGCGTCAGTAGCTCAACCTGATTTCCTGGAAGGCATAGGTGGTGCTTGCCTCTGTCCTCCAAGGGTTTTACCCATTCTGACACACATCATCCCTCCCACAGAGCACTCGACTCCTTTTCTGGGTTTGATAATTAATTGATATTGGTCACACATCATGTACAGACTGTACTCAAAGTGGAGGATTTTATTAGTAAAGTAAGAGGCTACAATTCAGGTTCAGAAATGCTCAGGATACAGCTCTTCACTGAGAGCAGCCTCTTCTCAGGTCTTCCCACAGGCAGCTCTCTGTCTGGCCCTTGCCCCTTGATTTGGCTTTTGTCCTGCTGAGGAAGGTGTTACAAAGCTATTATAGAAGTGCTTAGAAGCACGCTGTGCTGCCAGCAAGTCTCCTTGCCATCCTCTGGTTTTGCTTCTGCTGCTGCCATTTCTGTGTCACGGCTTGCTTTCTGTCTGTTTCCAGTGATGCAGTTTTTCTCTCTGCATCCTGAGTTAAGGTTATCAGCTTATGAGTCTGAATATTCTGACTAAGGAGCCTCAGTCCAAAAGACGTACTCTGCTCCCCCCGATTCTGTCTATTGTCAAGTCCCCTTTTCTGTCTTTGAGGTGGCTCATTTTAAGCCTAACAGGAAGGTAAAACTGGTCATCTCTCTCATTACACTTCATTTGCATAGTCCACTCCCACAGGGCTTTCAATGAGAGGAAGACCCTCAATGAGATGGACTGACTCAGTGACTGCAGCAATGGGTTCAAGTGTGTGAGAGACTGTGAGGACGGCACAGGAAAGGACAGGGCTCAGATCTGTTGTTCATGGGGTCCCTTTGAGTCATACTCGACTCATTGGTGCCTAACAACATATGCATGTTTAATAAGCTAACCAATCTCATTGGTGGGCCACAAGCACCTAATTTGCATAGTCCCATCCAATCATTTAGTGAGCATTAAAAAGATGATGCCTGGAAAGGACTATGTTAAGTAATTCAGTTTGATGCTACGTGACCCTTCTTTGAAGGGAGAGAACTTTAGGAAGACAACAGTCTCTCTCTCTCTGACACTGTTTCTCCTCAAGATTGACCTCTGTCTGTTTACAGTGTTGCTAGAATAAAATGTCACCATGAATAGAGCAATACCCTGAGTCACAGAGCCTTTCTCTGAGTGGTGGAGGAGGGTGGTCTTGGGGGCGCTGGCACAAATGTCTGAGGTTTCTCAATCTCTTACTCGTCTTGTTTACCAAGCTCAGTACTAATGGTTTGGCCTGGATTATCACTGATAAATGTCAGTAGTTGTAGAGGGGCGTCAGGCCTTTTGTTTGTAGGGTCACTATGAGTCGTGTTTGACTTAAAGGCAATCAAAAAACAAAACAAACCCAAAAGGCAATTAATAACAACAGCATTGAATCTACCAGCAGTCCCTCTGAGGCAGTATCTCTCAATGTTATCAGTGTTTGACAAGTGATGCTGTTTGAACCTTAACACGCTTAAAGTCACCTGTGTGGGTCCTAGAGTTTATTTCAGAACTTTTATTATTCCCTCCCCACCAGCACCCCACCAGGATGTTTGTACTGAGGATATTGCTACTCAGAAGAGGGCTCAGGTGAGCGTTCCTGTAATTGCCTCTGTCGTTGCAGGTACGATCACATCCTCACGGAGCCTGACCCCGTGCCAGCGTATGCCCTGAAGCTGCTCGTTGCCATGACGGAACACAGCCCAGTTTTTACCAGGTATCGTGGCCTTAGATTTCCTGCTCTTGTCTCTCATCCATATGAATTTTATGTGGTGGTAAAGATGGTGCAGTTTATGAATTTCCATAATGTCATGTTTCGTGATTTGTACTATTAATCTTTTATGCTGTTTTAATTATCTTCCTGACATTTTTACCCCTTTTTGGAATTTGCAAAACACTATTCAGGGCATAATGCTTTCAGTGATGTCATAGTCTTTAAAGAGACTAAGGAGCATACTTTTAAACAAATGTCAGCAGTAACTCATCTGATACATTGAAAAGCTATTTATTTAAATCTATACTTTAGAAATTAATATTTATTTAAATTTATAGTTTATTAGTTGCACATGCTTTTAATGTTGTACTTAAGAATCCGTTGTTGAAAACGTACTCTTGAAGGTTGACTCAAATATTACAAAAAGTCAACAGTCGGCAGAGAATGAATTAGAAGATTGGGAATGTCCTCAGATGCATCAAAAAATTTCTCCAAAGTGTACAAAGAGAACCTGCAGACTGGGGGGAAAATTTGGTAATGACTAATCTGACCAGGGACTGATAACATTTATAGAAAACTCCAACAAGAAAAATACCCAAAAAAACACACTTACCAAATGGGCAGAGGAGATGAAAAGACATTCAGGTACCCTATAAACACGTGAAGAAATGCTCAAGATCATTAGCTATTGTAGTTACGTTAGGTGCTGCCAAGTCGAGTACAACTGATAGCAACCCTATGACAAAAGGATCTGAACCCTTTTCTATCCTGTTCCATCCTTACACTTCGTGATAACATTGCAGCAGTCACCACGTCAGTCCACTTAGTTGAGGGTCTTCCTCCTCTTTGCCAGCCCTCCACCCTTTCTAGTATCCTGTCTCTCCAAGGAATAGCACTAGCACCTCCTTGCAACATGCTTAAAGTATGTGAGGCAAAGCTGTGTCATTCTAGGCTCCAAAGAGCACTCAGGCTGCATCCTCTCCAAGACTTAACTGTTTTTTTTTTCTCTTTTTTTCCCCCCCTAAGACTTAACTGTTTATTTTCTTGGCTGTCCGTGGGATGTTCCGTACTCTTTTCGAACACCACAGTGCCAATTCTTTTTCTGTCATCCTTACTCATGGTCCAGCTCTCAGATGCATATTACCGAGCTGGATATCAAAATAGCAAGGAGACAGCATCTCACTTCAGCAACAAGAGCCGAGTTCAAGTAGACAGTAAATAGCATGTGCTGTTGAGAATGTGGAGAGATTAGAATTCAAATGCACTGCGAATGGCAGTGTAAAGTGGTGAGACCACAATTGAAAGTAGTTTGAAGCTTCCTTACAAACTTGGAAATAGAAATAATTTTGATCCAGCAATCCTGTATAGGTCTGGCACAAAGAATAAGTCCCAAAGATATAAGAGCTACACTGTGAACAGAAAATACACACTCAGATTAATTGCAGCATTATTCACAATGGCAAAGAAATGTAATTTCAGACTTTTGAAATGTCTTGAGACTCTTGTGATGAAGAGTCCCATTGAGTGCTAGGTTATGAAGTTCTTTCCATGGGGAATAATATGGCTAGACTGATTTTTATAGAAATATCTAGATTTTAGTTTTTGAATGTTAATAAATGAACTTGGTACAAAACCAGCACTAAAATAAGCAGAGATAAGAAATTCTTTCCCCACAGAGATTACTATTTTGTGTGTGTGTATGTGCGCGCACGTGTGTATGCTGTTTTTTTCCCCTTGGTTGTATATTCTCCTTGTAATTTTATATCTTCTTTTAAAGTGTGCATATAACCCAAGGGAACATGGTTTGAATCCACCAACTGCTCTGTAGGAGAAAGATTGGCAAACCCCTCTCATGGGATTTACTGCCTCTAAGATCCTGTTGGAGGGCTGGCTATGAGTCAGCTTTGACTGGATGGTACACAACAAACAAAATTAAGATACAAGTCACAGATTATTTAGACCTCCGCTTAACAGATTGATAGCTTTGTGTTTTATGACTTTTATGTTTATTTAATAAGACTTTTTTTTGTAAATATTTGGATTTTTTTTCATAACGTTTGGTATTAAAACAAGGCTCCAATTAATGACATTTGCCTATATGTGTATAGTACAAATAGCGACAAGTGGAAACACTGCAATAGAGGGCAGATTAACCAGTGATTCCTAGTTTTTGCATTAGTGTCACCTATGATCTGAGAGATGGAGAAGAGATAGAAAGTCAATAGCTTAATATTGTTTGGACCCACAATTAACACCCTTAGTACTATTGTTATGTGCCATCCAGTTGCTTGTGACTCATAGCGACCCTATGTATGAGACCCCTAAACCTTGCTCTATCCTGTGCCAACCTCACTGTCTCTGACATACCTATTCCCATTATCCCAGTCACTGAATTGATCCATCTCCTCTAGGGTCTTCCTCTCTTGTGCTGTCCCTCCACCCTCCCAAACATGACGTCCCTCTCTAAGGACTGGTCCCTCCTTGTAACATGCCCAAAGTATGGCAAACGAACCTTCAGAAGCCTTGCCTCCAAGGAGCAGCCTGGTTTCACCCTCTCCAGGACGAACCTGTTTTAGCAGTCCATGGTATATTCAACACTCTTGCCCAGTACCACAGTTTAAAGTCATCAATTCTCTTTCTATATCCGTAGTCATTGTCCAGCTCTCTGACGCATAGCATGCAATTGTTAAGACTATGGCCTTGATCAGGTGCACCTTAGTTTGCAGCCTGATGTCATTGCTCCTCAGTACTCTGGTGAGGTCCCTGACAGCTGACTTTGCCAGTGCAATTTGTCTCTTGATTTCTTGGCTGCTGGTACCAAGAGTGTTGACTGTGGAGCCAAGCAAACTATAACTGTTAACAATCTCAATCTCTTCACCATCCATTATGATGCTATCAATTGGCCCAGAGGTGAGAATCTTTGCTGTATTGATGTTGAATCCATATTGAAGGCTGCAGTCCTTGACCTTCTGTAGCAAGCGCTTCAGGTCCTCCTCAGTTTCAGCAAGCAGGGTTGTGTCATCTGCATTCGCAGGTTGTTGATGAATCTTCAATCCTGATGCCACATTCTTCCTTGTACAGCCCAGCATCCTGGGTGATCTGTTCTGCATACAGATTGAAAAGGTATGCAGAAAGAATATATCCCTGGCGGAAACCATTCCTGATTTTCAGCCATGCAGTGTCTCCTTGCTCTGTTCTGACGACTGCCTCCTGGTTCAAGTATAGGTTTCACATTGTGTTGTTGTTATGTGCCGTCAAGTCGCTTGCGACTCATAACGACCCTATATACAACAGCCCTAAACGCTGCTCTGTCCTGTGCCAATCGCACTGTCTCTGACACTCCCATCCCGATTATCCCAGTCACTGAATCAATCCACCTCATAGAGGGCCTTCCCCTCCTATGCTGTCCCTCCACCCTCCCAAGCATGATGTCCTTCTCCAAGAACCGGTCTCTCCTCACAACATGTCCACAGTATGTTAGACAGAGCCTCAGAATCCTTGACTCCAAGGAGCCACCCGGTTTAAACCTTTCCAGGACAAATCTGTTTGTTTTCCTAGCTGTCCATGGTATTCTCAATACTCTTCTCCAGCACCACAGCTCAAAGGCATCAATTCTCCTTCTATCCTCCTTGGTCATTGTCCAACTCTGATGCATAACAAGTGATTGTGAAGACCATGGCCTATATCAGGTTTCGCATTAGCACAATCAAATGTTCTGGGATTCCCATTCTTCTCAGACTCCGTCACAGTTTGTTGTGATCCACACAATCAAAAGCCTTTGCCTAGTCATTGAAACACAGACATTCCTCTGATAACTGTTTTCTGCCAAAATCCATCTAACATTAGCAGTCAGGAAATAGAGACGCATTGCACTGGGAAAATCGGCAGTTGGAGACCTTTCCAAATTACTGAGTAGTAGTGATGTCAATTTGAAGACTAAGGTGTGTCTGATTCATACCATAGTCTTTCTGATTACTAGCTATGTATCCAAGACCCGGACAATGAATAAAAATTACAGAAAACCATTGATGCCAATATACGGCCAAGAAGAGAATGAACAGATATGACTTGGAGAGGGTGCAGCCAAAGCCTTCTTTTGGAGGCAAGAATGAGAAGGCTTCATCTTACATAGGGCATGCTGCTAGGAGGTTTTAATTCCTTGGAGAAGGACATGATGTAGGGAAGGGTTGATGAAGGAGAGGAAGACCCTCAACCAGGTGGATTGACATGCTGACTGCTGCAATGGACTGTTGTATGTCAGGAAGTATGAGTATGGTGCAGGATAGAACAGGGCTCAGATGTTTTGTTCATAGAGTCATACTCTACTCAGTGACATCTAACAACAACAACAACACGATCTGAGGGTTCTCTCCCCTACCTGCATTCCCTCGGCAATTAAAATACCTTTGAAAGGTGTTGCTAAATATCCCCCGTCTGCATTGTACCAGTTTTGTGTCTACCAGAGTGTCTGTCTGTAGCAAATTTTTACACATTAATGTGCTTTGTTACTGTTATGGGTGAAAATTACCTCTTGTTTTTTTCCCCCCTTATTTTGTTGCGTTGTGGCTGGGTCATCGTTTGGTTTTTCATTTCCTTTTTATTACTTAATTTGTGGCCTAGTATTTGCTGATTGTAACCAAACAAAAGAGGCCAAACTCCTGCCTCAATTTTGATGAAATGGTAATGCAATGATGGATGAAATCTTCCAGAGTGACCTGGTGAGAGTATTTTGAGGCAAAACACTTGATTGTAAATGTTTGTTAAAAAGAGTGAATGCCTAGGGAGCTCTGGTGGCCTAGTGGGAAGAATCTGTGCTGTAGTCCCTAAGGTGCGTGGTTTGAATCCACCAGGTGCTCTTCGGGAGAAGTTAGGGACGGTCTTCTCCTGTGCCAGTCAGATCTGACTGGACATACCCTGAAAAGAATATTAGAATGCCTAATTGTTAGGTGAGAATGGGTTTCTAGATTAATAAAAATTGCCATGAACAGTTACTATAAATTTAA